TCAGACGTGCAATGCAAAAGCACTCCAGAAAGCGCAACCTGTGTGAGGTAACATTGGAAAAGCCGCAATGAAAGAATGTTGTGGGGCTGACAAGGACAGTGCAATAGCCAGCATCAGGGCTGCCACTGGTAGTGACCCTAAGATACCAGTGACAATGTCGGTGATGATGCCACAAGTTCTAGAACAGGCCGACGAAGCAGGCCTTTTAATGCCATCTTTTCCCACTTGGCTCAGTACAGCTTCCAGCCTGGACGGAGAGGCATCGCAGGCCAGCACTATGGGACGTGACACATCGTAGTGTGTTAGAACATCTGAGGATTCTAGCAGACCCTTGGCACGCTTGTAGACCTCTCCTTCCATCTTCGTCCTGGCCCACACCTTATCCTTATCCAGAAGGCAATAAAGGGTTCCAACTCATGGGCAGCCCCCTTCAAAAAACAACCATAGAGGTTCAGAGCTCCCAAGAATGACTTTAGTTCTGTCTTGTTCGTCAATTCTGAAGCTTCCTTGGTGGCCTTCACCCTTTCGGCCGAAGGACTGACGTCATCCTTGTTGGTACGGTACCACAGCTACTATACTTCCTCAACTTGGAAAGCGCACTTGTTAGCGTTCAGACACAGGCCATTGTCCTGGATGCGCTGCAGCACCCTCGGCAGCCTATCGTCGTGTTCAGCTCCCGTTTGTCCTCCGATGAGAATGTCATCCGAAATAGCCTACACTTCTTCAAGGCCGTTCAAGAGCTCTTCCATATAAAGATCTGGGGTTCTGCCGGGCACTGTTAGTATATTATTAGAGGTATGAAGTGAAAAAGAAGTGCCTAAGGAAAGAAGTGGAATGACGTTTCAACCAAACGGTCTTCTTCAGGTATACTAAAAGGGGAGACGACAGATCAAAAGGGTCAGATCGGCTTTAAAGTGCAGGGACGAAGAACAGGCCCTTTGATAAAATAATGTGTTCAGGGGCAGTGAGGGGTAAATCGTCAAGTATGGCAACACCATCATTCCGTTGGACGGCAGCCTCATGATCTCGGGGCAAGAAAGTGTCTAGTTTCCTTTGATTTACAGGCGAGACCATCGGCATAGAGATACGAGTTGACTAAAGAATTTTGTCGACAAGTTTGCGTGAGTGAGAATGGAAAGATGAGTCAAGGGACTTGAGGAGCTTTTTAGCGACGGTGAGCTTTTGGCGTAACTGGGCACAGTGGTCATTATGATATCTCAGATCTGCCTTCACTAGGTGGAGAGCAGCATTATCTAATATTTGTGACACTTTTTAAGGGCCGGAGAAATTCTCATTGGCAGGTTGAGAGGAGGGCCGGTGTGTTTGCACGCAAGACATGTCGGAGTGCCGCACGGCGTGGTACCGGGGAGCAAAGTCTGACGCTTTGTGGACTGGTTGCTGCGTACTGGAAAGGATCGTAAGTTGGGCTGTCGATAGGAAGTTAGGGTGGGTGCTTTAAAAATAACTTTAGAGTCTACAAGGCAGGAAGTGGTCTCCATGATTAGTTTTCCGAGCCTGGGTACGGAGGGATGGAACATAAAGATGAGGGGGTTTCGGAGTGGTTGCTATGTACTAGAAGGGATTGTAAGTTGGGCTGACGACGGTAAGTTAGGGCGGGTGCTTTAGAAACTACTGTAGAGTCTACGAGGTGGGAAGTGGTCTCCATGATTAGTTTGCCGAGCCTGGGTACGGAGGGATGGAACATAAAGATGAGGGGGTTTCGGAGTGGTTGCTGCATACTGGAAGAGATCGTAAGTTGGGCTGTTGGTAGGAAGTTAGGGCGGGTGCTTTAGAAATAACTTTAGAGTCTATGAGAAGGGAAGTGGTCTCCATGATTAGTTTGCCGAGCCTGGGTATGGAGGGACAGAACGTAGAGATGAGGGGGTTTCGGAGTGGTTGCTGTGTACTAGAAGAGATTGTAAGTTGGGCTGACGACGGTAAGTTAGGGCGGGTGCTTTAGAAACTACTGTAGAGTCTACGAGGTGGGAAGTGGTCTTCATGATTAGTTTGCCGAGCCTGGGTATGGAGGGACAGAACGTAGAGATGAGGGGGTTTCGGAGTGGTTGCTGTGTACTAGAAGGGATTGTAAGTTGGGCTGATGACGGTAAGTTAGGGCGGGTGCTTTAGAAACTACTGTAGAGTCTACGAGGTGGGAAGTGGTCTCCATGATTAGTTTGCCGAGCCTGGGTACGGAGGGATGGAACATAAAGATGAGGGGGTTTCGGAGTGGTTGCTGCATACTGGAAGAGATCGTAAGTTGGGCTGTTGGTAGGAAGTTAGGGCGGGTGCTTTAGCAATAACTTTAGAGTCTACGAGGCAAGAAGTGGTTTCCAAGATTAGTTTGCCGAGCCTAGGTATGGAGGGATGGAACGTAATGATGAGGGGGTTTCGGAGTGGTTGCTGCATACTGGAAGAGATTGTAAGTTGGGCTCTCGATAGGAAGTTAGGGCGAGTGCTTTAGAAATAACTGTAGAGTCTACGAGGCAAGAAGTGGTTTCCAAGATTAGTTTGCCGAGCCTGGGTATGGAGGGATGGAACGTAATGATGAGGGGGTTTCGGAGTGGTTGCTGCATACTGGAAGAGATCATAAGTTGGGCTGTTGGTAGGAAGTTAGGGCGGGTGCTTTAGAAATAACTTTAGAGTCTACGAGGCAGAAGTGGTTTCCAAGATTAGTTTGCCGAGCCTGGGTATGGAGGGATGGAACGTAATGATGAGGGGGTTTCGGAGTGGTTGCTGCATACTGGAAGAGATCGTAAGTTGGGCTGTCGATAGGAAGTTAGGGCGGGTGCTTTAGAAATAACTGTAGAGTCTACGAGGCAAGAAGTGGTTTCCAAGATTAGTTTGCCGAGCCTGGGTATGGAACATAATGATGAGGGGGTTTCGGAGTGGTTGCTGCATACTGGAAGAGATCGTAAGTTGGGCTGTTGGTAGGAAGTTAGGGCGGAACGTGATGATGAGGGGGCTGCATGGTGGTTTAGATCTTGGTTGGGGAAATAGGGCGTCGTGCCGCGAAATGTTAGAGACGCGACTGCTCGCATTGCGCAGAACGCCAAGTGGGTAGCTACTTTCAATAAAGAAGGCGGTCATCGTCTTAAAGGGGACCTCAGGTGGATTCTGAGATCGTCTATTTATTGTCATAACTCAATCTATGGACTCTAAGCATCCTAAGAAACCCGAAATTACATACAAGGGCGGCCAATCTCGCTATTTAAAATTCTATTAAAAATTGGGGCATGCCCTCCTTTCTGTGCCGTGGCGCAGAACGCCAGAGGGTGCCATCGGACGGGAAGGCAGCAGGGGAGGGCACGTGACAGCCAATTACGAATAATGGCTTCCCAGCACACTAAATTTTCGAACATGTGCGCGTTTGAAAAATCAGTCCGCCGCGAAGCCGTCACTCGTGACTGGCTGTCGCGTGCCCTCCCCTGCTGCCTTCCCGTCCAGTGGCACCCCCTGGTGTTCTGCGCTACGGCACAGAAAGGGTGGCGTGCCACAATCTTTAATTGGATTTTTAATATGAAAACCGGCTGGGCCCTTGAATGCTTAAAGCCCATAGATTGAGTTATGCCAATAAATAGACGATCTCAGAATCCACTTCAGTGCCCCTTTAAGCTGTTGACAGAAATCAATGTCGTTGCTGCAAATCCTACAAAGGCAAAGGATCTGCAGCCTCGAACGCCTTTTTGAACTCCAACACTGGTTTGCCCAGGGGACGACGCTGCACCCTTTTGTCCAAGACACCACACAGTAGACGGTCCTATAGCATGGCTGACAAGGTCTCACCAAAGTTGCAGTGTTTGGAGAAGCGGCGCGGGGCGGGGACGAAATTCGCGATGCTTTCTGCAGGCTGTTGGCTGCACTTATGAAACGCAAAGCACTGAACAATCACTGACAGGCACGGCGTGAAGTGGGCGGTGAGCTCCAACACAATGACCGCATAGGGAGTCCACTGGCACACACAACGAGCATACGACGGAGTAGATTGTCGGACCACAAACGCTACACAGGACTGCGCATATTGGGGACTCCTCGACGATGTTGTGCACAATGAAGAAAAAGTTTAGTCGCTCCTGGTACAGGGGCCACGCTTCAATCTTTTTGGGTCGAACTCTTCGAGATGTCTCAGCCGCCCCATGATGACAACGTTAGGCTCATCCTTTTTCGCCATATGCTCTCGTCGTTGCCAAGTTGCCACGAAGCTGTCGTTGCTCAAAAAAGTGTGGTTGCGTGCCTCGGAGTTTGAATTTCTTCATTCCCGTCGTTGCCCAAATCTTTATTCAGGCAGCCGACTTGGCCGTGCAGAAAAGAGGAGTTAGACAAGAGGCACATGGTTTACGACGAGTCCCCGGAATGACAAACGGTTCGGTAAAACCAGCTTGACTCGCCTTGGCTTGACTTCTGCTGACTCGCCGATGTTGCCAGATGCACACACACAACACTCACGACGCAAGATTCCGTTTCATTTTAAGTGCAAGATCCAGGCTTTCAATGCCGCTACCAAGCATGCACGATCATGTACTGGTAGCATCGTTCAGGGCAACATGCTCATAGCTTCAGCTTCACTCACGCATGAAGTAAATGAAATCATGGCCCCTGTGTCCACTCTAATTCTCCAAGTCAGTAGTAGGCTGAAATTTATCCATCACTATAAGAAGTTGGGAGTGATGCTGAGAAGTCTGGGAGGGTTGTCGCATGCACGGAATTGACCGATCGACGTGCACAAGATGATGTCCTGGATTGGGCAAGGTTCGAGCATGTTGGATGGTATCAGGAACACGTGGTTACACAGGATCCATGGGGACACGGCGGTCCCATTGACTTTGGCCATATGTGCCTGGGGCGGCACTGCTTCCCGAGTGCTAGCCAGTGCCAACCTCTGGAACATGGTCACGACACTGCCTCAGCATCCCAACATTGAGATACTGGAACTGGTAGCAGTGGTCTAGGAGAGCCAGAGGAATCACTGTAGTTGGATAGAAACATTGCAACAGATGCATCAGTAGAGGCCCTAGCTTTCCGCGATTCCGCGATTCCGCGAAAAATCACGGAATTAACGTTTTTTCGCGGAAATCCAAAAAAAAATTAAAAAACGTTGCTTTTGGGGGTTGTTTCTTCCAAAAGATGGCGCTACACGTTTCCAAAACGAAAGTTTAAGTGAAAGGTGGCAAAACGTGACGGAAAAGTAGTATTTTCTTATTAGTTAATGACAAAACGGTTTCTATTTCCTCATCGTCTTTTACTGTCGAAGAAATTAAATTTTATATTCGAATATTCTAACCTTATCAATAAAAAAAGAAAGATGCCTAGGTGGCGCAGCCGCCAACCATAGCCGTCAACCGAGTCAAAGGGCTCGGCCGTAGCCGTAGTCATCAATCCATCCAACGTTCGCGCAACGAAACGTAGGGACTGTCGACTGTCGCAACGGACGCAACAGAAAGTGCGCAATTTTTTTCCGTTTTTGCTTTGTTTCCGAGTTCGTGATCGACATGGCTCCCTCAGGGTCTCATTTAAGCAAAAAGACAGCCAAAGAACGTGCTCGAGAATACAAGCACGCCAGCTTTTACGAAGATGGAGGAGTCCTTTTTTGCCGAGCTTGCGCGAGAGCAGTTGACTATCGTCGCAAGTCGACTATTGACGAGCACATCCAGAGCAACCGTCATCGTAAGAATGCCGAAACAAGAGACTCTTCCAAGCGAAAAAGTGGCGAAGAACCATCAGAAGACGTCGCTGGGGGCTCAGGAACACCGAGAAAGCAAAGTCGACTGCAGACGCTGGAATCGGCAATGACCGCTGGCGAGGCGAGGCACGACATTGTGCTCAAATTCCTGGATGCATTGATATCTGCAAATATCCCCCTAGAGAAGGTGGACAATCCGAAACTGAGAACGTTTCTACAGACACACGTACGGAACGGCGGGTCGGTGCCTGGATCTGATGCGCTCCGCCGACGACTTCCAGAATTGTTCGAGAAGCATGAGACAGCGTTGAAAGCTATGTTTCAAGGTACCACGGTGTCGGTAGTTATTGATGAAACCACCGATGACCGATCAAAATCGGTTGTGAATGTGCTGTTCGTCCAGTCAGCCAGAAGTGCGAGAGCTTCGCTACAACCTGTACTGGTGGAAGTTAAATTCGTGGATGAAGTGAACTCGTCCGTGATAGGCCGCATTGTAACGAGGACACTGACGAAGTACGGAATTGAATTCGAGGACGTGACGGGCTTTGTAAGCGATAACGCTGCTTATATGGTGAAGTCCTTTAAGGAGTGCATAAAGCCACTTTGCGAGTGTGCTGTTCACATTACGTGTGTAGCACATACAGTAAACATTGTCGGCAGCACATTGCAGGCATCTTTTCCCTTGGTGGACAAATTTGTCGCCTGTATGAAGAAGGCCTTCCGTCTGTCGAGTAGGAAGAGAGCTTTCTACAAAGCTCATCTGGAGAAGTGTGGGGTTGAGTGTGCCAAAACACCTCCAGCGCCTGTCAAAAGTAGGTGGAATTCGTGGATTGAAGCTGTTGAGCAGCATTCTGCTTACTTTGAGCACTATCCTTCTTTGCTAAGGCAAGTCTATGAAAAGTATGGAGATGCAGCGTGTGTTGATTCTCTTCTGGAACTTTTGAATGAACACTCGATTGAGCTTAAGTACTGCATGCGATGCATTGCAGTGTTTGGCAAAAAAGTTGCAAGCCTGCTGAAAGCAGCAGAGGGTCAGCGTGTAGCCTGCCACAAAGCGTACAATGCTTTGTTTACACTTTGGGGATATTTGGAAGCAGCTGCACAGGAAGATTTTGAAACACAGCTGAAGAAAGAAAACATTGCACACGACGAGGCCCATCGGATTGCAAACAAAATGAAGGCTGCAATGAGTAAAGCGGCTAGCAAAGCTTTAGTATATTTGGAGAAGTCTGACACTTGGAAGTTCTTCAAGAGTGTGAGGTGCTTGGATCCTCTGCAAATCGGGTGTCTCTCGGAGAAGAGATCAGAGTTTGCAGGTGTGCCTGGACTTGGGGAGGACTCACTGGCCCTAGCTGCTGAATGGCAAGTTTACCTGAAGTCCGCCCAAGAACTCAAATCAAGTGACAGGGACTTGGCACCATTTCTTTCTAAACAAGAAAAGCCAGGTGAAGATTTTGATGTTCTGGCTTTCTGGGCAGGGATGGAACCCCTGACTCCAACACTTTCTTCCATTGCCCTTAAATACCTGTCAATGCCAATCAACTCAGTTGATGCAGAAAGGTCGTTCAGTCGATACGGTGACATTGTGTCCCACAAGCGACACTCCCTCAGTGAAGAGAGTACCAAGCACCATTTGATGCTCAGTCACAACAGCTTCCTTTTAATTTGATGCAAGCAAGCATCAGTGTTTAATAACGTTCAATAAATAAACTGTTACATGTACCTTATGTCTGTTCAATGTTACCGCAGAATTTTGCAGATTCCTCGATCTGTATTTGCAGAATTTCAAATTTTCCACCGCATAAAGTGAGGGGCTTTATGCATCAGTCCTCTAGGCACAAAATATCTTACACCTTAGTCATATTATTCTTAAAATTGGAGATTCAATGGAGATGCAGAGCAGTTAAAATTTACCACGCAGCTAGCTTGGAACATTTCTTTCAAACTTCACAGAATGGCAAACAACTCTATAGCTTCTAAACATAGTATTTACAGTGCTAGGAGCTGGCACTCTTGTCTCGTATCTAGAAACAGTTATTCAGTCATTTTCACCTCATCAAGGATGCACAATTGGGAAGATGATCAATCCAGTTGTTTTATTCACATTAAAGCGAATTAACGAATAACTTTAGAATGCTGACAGGAGCCATATCAGTTAGTTTTGAGTGACATTCAGTAAAAAGAAGACAAGTGAATTTTTTTTTCTTTTTAATTTTGTGAGTTTGAAACAAGATAGCCTGCATTTTCTAAGGGCTAAAAAAACATGTAGGGATATTATTTCTACGAGTTCAAACTTTTTTTTATTATTTTTTTTTTGTGCAAAAAGGGTACTTACTATTTTTATTGTGCTTTGGTAGCCGCTGGTGCTGAAACTTGATGTCCCAGGTGGCATTCCTACAGCGATTCTCTATGACCTGAGGGAGTCCTGGGGCAGTCCGGTTATCCCGTGTGTGTTTAACCGTTCAGCGGTCGCGGCGGCGCTCACGATCTTCGGCCAGTCGCGTCGGAGGGATGCGATCACTTGGCAGTGGTTTGCCCCACGACGAGCAAGTTGGCGATGGTTCTGTCCTCCGCAGGAGAGTATGGCTTTGCAGCGCCGACTCACTTTGTCACTGGAGTGGTTAGGTGCACGCAAGTCACCTGGCCAACCAAGCACTCTGTGTAACACAGACACACATTCACATCGCCGGCATCAGCCAAACGCCTGCTTGAAGACGCGGTACGTTAGTAGGTACGGTAGCCTGTCTTCAAACCGAAGCTCGCGGAATGCTTCTACGACGAAGATGATGGACGGCCTTCTCAACAGGGGAGACGCTCGAACCAAGATCAATTCATACCGCCGTGATAGTGACGGCGGAAGCGCGATACGGCATCCAGGATCCCTCGCAGACGTAGAAGTGAGCACGGCAGCCGAAGATCGAGCGTGCAAGCACTACCGAAATTAACGAAAGACCTGTGTGAGCAAGCCGTCAGCTGTAGTGGCGGAGCGCGGGAGGCCCGGCTTACGGATCGGCTTATGACGACGTTAGGTTGACTAATGGATTTCGCCCCACGCTTCGCTTTATTTTTTCGTCAGAAACTACTGAGCGCAACTTTCTATCCCAGTTTTTTGTTATATTTTCTTGTCCCAGCAGACAAAACACACAAAAACAAGTGTTTTGCCGTGTTAAAATTGTTTATTGACGAAAACGTGTTCTATGTGCACGAGACGAATTTGCGATCGCAATCGTAATAGACATCACTTAAATGTCATTTTAGTTGTCGTCTGGCAGGTCTCATCCTGAATGTCATTTGAAAACCTGAATGTCATTTGGCGTAAATGCCATTTTAGCTGCCGTCTGACAGGGGTATTATACTTGAACCAAAGCGCTCCAGCACCAACAAAAAGGAAAACAATAACGATATAAAGAACACCTCTGCTTGTTAGGAGTACATACAGCCTGGCTGTACTTGAAGCATTGGGCTATTCTGTATGCTCATTTTACAACTTTTTTTTTTTTTTCCTTCTTTTAAACATCCGCGCGAACAAGTAGCATTGATTGCGGTTCGGAAATCAGCCTGAATCTACTGTGGTGAATGGCGCGCCCAACTCCCAGGGGTGGCGACACTTGATGTAAAAGCCACTCCTGAACGGCCACTGGAGCAGCCCCACTCCCCCTCGCTGCATGTTTTTGCACGACACACAATCGCCCGTCGTTTTATCGAGTGTCGAGATCATGCGACCGCGCTAAGGTGCCGACTACATTTCTCTTGCGCGGTTTGTTTGAATTTTGCTTTGTTTTTCGTGTGTAAGGTGTGAGTGTTGTTTGCTATAGTGCGCTGTGGTGTGTGTAATCACATGCAACCAACTCGCCCAAGCTGCTACGTTTACATTTCTCTGTATTGACATGTGTGATCCGGGCAGTTTAGGTTTTAAGTGCTCGTTTACAACCATTCTTAGTCCAAAAGCAACCAACAACTGCGCTTCTGGGTGCAAGTTCGACCCGTCGGAACGGGTGATGCCCGAGTAGCATCCGCAATGGCGCAGGATCTTAATTGTGATGTTAAACGAAGAGGCTTCCACGAGCCAAAGTTTGGATAGGTCTACATGCCTTCAAGAGTTAGAGGATGGGATTGCAACCTAAGTCGGAGAAGCCCGCAATTGGTCCCTACCCGTGACAGGCGACGCGATTACCGAGCAAGTGCGAATGATGCGGTCGATCTGGTCATTTGCGAAGTGCGAGATTTCCCTGGATGACGCCGACAACTTGCTTCGGGAACATGGCAGTGGTGACGATGGCAAGGACGGAACCAGTGTGGACGAATTGTAGTCTCTGGTCGCAGCCAGAGTGAAAACAACGGGGAGCAGCTTCACCCGTCTCGCCTCCAGCCAGAGTTTCGATGACGCTTCCGCATCTCGTGTGCCTTGTGCGTGCATGCGTGGCCAAAGCATGCCAGAAGGCATCCAGTTCGTGCCGGAGGCTGGGCTTTCGAAAGACGTCCTGCTATTCTCACGTCCTCCCCGTAGAATGCACCACTAGACTTGGTTTTTCCTTTTTCTCTTTATTTTTGTTTTTTCTTGGCGTGCAACTTACAACTGTGTAAATACGGTAAATCGGGCCAAAGTCACGGACAGCTAACATGGAAAGCCACCGAGTCGAGCGACAGAGATTTTCCCCTGCCGTTTGGTTTATGACCAACCAATGGAAATGGAACAATCGGATCGTCCATAGAAGACCGTTTGCTGCCGTAGCCGCGACCCCATTTCGGTGTTTCGACTCCGCTACGGCGCCTGAAACGCGCCTCCGACCAATGCATCTGTGGTGTCCTCGTTTGTGGTCGCTCGATTTCCACCCTTTGATTTCGGGTTGCTGCTGCCCGCCGCGACCCTGGCCATGGCACAGCGGCAGAAGTGGCCGTGGTCAACGCCTGTTCTGCTGCGGGTCGCTTTTCGGCTCGGCAGTTCACGCGAGCTCCGTTGGTTCCGTGTCCAGACGCCGCAACAACAGCGACGCTCCCGTCTGCCTGTCTCTTATGCCAGAGTATTTTTTGCAGGATCGCGACATCCTGGCAGTTGGTCATGAATGCGCACGACACGTTGGCTCCTACGACATAATTTGTTGCCCCTTCGGGACAACTTTCGAGACGTGGACAGTGTAGAACACTGAACACACCGGGTGCCTTAGTGTGCGTGCATCTTCGCGGCGAAAAACACCCAACCCTCGGAAAAGATCTCTCAATGCGAGTACTCACTTTCGACGATGTGGGCACTTCCTCGGTGCCTTCCGGATCAACAAGCGTGGTCGCTGCCTGTGTCCTCCTCTGTAGCTCTTTCTCCCTCCATTTCAAGTGTGCGAGGTGTCGCGTCAAACCTGGAGACAAAGACGCGATTGATGCCATGCTTAATATGTCAGGAGAGAGATGATCTCGGGAGTTTTGTGTAAAATTGATCCGAGATGGCAATGGCTTAAATTGAAATAAACTAAGATTAAAAAAAAAAGAGTGGGGAAAGGGGAGAGGGAAATGAGCACTCATTCTGTAGCCTCTCTCCTTTCATCTTTTTTCTGTTTATACTTACTCATATTAGACTCGAGTAAATTTGATATGAATAGTGCAAGCGGCACATACAGTACGCCAGTACGCAGGTCGCCATACCTCGTCCGATTTGAGTATAGGCTAAAGGGGTGTCCAAACAGGACACTACAAAACGCACGACTCCGACAAATCGTGAAAATTGAAGCGGGCGCGAAGCGGGCGCGTCCGCTTCCAATTTTCACGATTTGTCGGAGTCGTGCGTTTTGTAGTGTCCTGTTTGGACACCCCTTAAAGGGACCATGAAATGATTTTAAAATCGAGTTTCATCCACCGCACGTCGTAAAAGGTGTGAAAAGAAACACAAAAACACAAAAATAGGGAGCCCAAAAAAATTATTTGCCATAGAACTTTTAAAAGAAAACTGGACTCTTTTGCGCCTTCCTTCCTTCGCCTGTTCACTACGATGCATACGCAGAATCGGTGCACGTCAGCCGAATCCACATCGCCTATTGGGTAAGAGCCTACCTCACCAGCACCGCGATCGTAAACAATAAATAGCCGGCGAATGTTTCCTAAAAGTTTTGTTAAATAATATTCAGATCCACATTTTGTAGCATAATTAGAGATGTGTGGCGAAAATTGCCAAATTTGATAATGCTGAGAGCCAAGCGCCATCTATCGTGTGGTAAACGAAGCAACTACTGCGCGTGCGCAGTAGGGCAGGGCCGCCAGTTACTTGGGTGACGGCGACCGATGAACATTTATTTTCTTTGTTTTCCTTCCTCTCAAAACTCTGACTGACTGAACGTTTATTTTTCTACGTGTTCTTCCCGCGCGTGCCGACTTCAAGCAGCAAGAAAACAGTACTTAAAACAGACCACGACGAACAAGAACGCTGGATTCACCGACTCCGACGAAGCATATAGGCCTAGCAGGCATTCCGACTCGGCGCTGCGTTGCTTCGTCGCAAGACCGTCTGCCTACGACCGGCTGGCGTGCTAAATGGAATATGCCCGCGCGACCCTTGTGGACCCTTCCCGTATTATAGTTTGATCACTGACCTCAATTCTAGATTAAGAGGTGAGGAGGTCAATCTCTTCCCCTTGTTTTCCGAGGCAGTGTTGACGAACACTCGTCGAAAAGGGACTCTCGTCGATTCTATCTTCTTGTTTTGTGTGATATAGAGCTGAAATAAACGCCGTATGGATTGCCTTCGTAACACGGTATGTACACTTTGTTATTGGTATGCCATTTTTATTCTGACAGACTGCACGTCACTGTCGACCCCGGTCCAACCTTTCTTTGCCGAGTGTCGCGTCAGTATCGAGTTGCAATCGTAAAAGAATGGTCCCGAAGCGCTTACCAACAGCGCGAATACAAGACTTCCATCAAGCGCGCGCGTCCGCTCCGAGTGTAAGCAGGTATTTACGTGGCTCTTGCTGACACTCGTAGTTCAAACGTATCTTTTTTAACGTCGGCTCGCTCCTGCATCTCCGAGGCCGCGAAAAACGCCATCTACGTCGCTTTGCAAACGACTGACACGGGCCGGCCCTTCTGCCAACAATGACGGGGTGGTGACAAGACTCGCTGCACTTCCCAACAGGCATACCGGCGTATGGGACTAGTCCCATGCTGTCGCTGTAGCGCAACATATCTCATTGAATTTCGCTCAGCTGCGATGCGGCGATGAGAGGCGCCGATTCAGGAAATACGTCGGTGACATCAGCGCAGTAAAACCTACCGGCGCACCCCAACTCGTTGCCGCTAACACTCCCATTCTCCTACTGCCGAGAGAACTTCCGGTTCCGGAAACGGTCTACGTCACGGCTTCTTTTGCGGTCAGTTGGAGAGAATGAAAAAGTCGATATTTCAATAATTTTTTGTGTAAAAGTTAATAAACCGAGACGAAAACGGATGCCTGTTCGGCATTCAGTGAACATTGACGGTTTAATGTAAAAGTTATCTGGAAAAAGTAAAAAGGTCATTTCATGGTCCCTTTAACGCGGAAACGTGGGCGATATTAAGACGCAACCGTGGAATGGTTTAGTAAAATTAACGGGCAACAGTAGGGCGGATCTTAGATCAAAATTTCAGTTCCTGCCGCTATGCAATTGACGGTGAATCACTGCTTCGAGGAATCTAGTAGAAAAGACAATGTTGACGAAAGCAGACGGACTCACTCGTTAAGTGCCGTTTTCCTTTCCTGTGGTTCGCCAGCATTTCGATGGTGTCCAAGACCGGGCGGTGCTGGCATAGCGTGCACGCGTACCTACAATAACGAAAGCGGCACAATCTCCAAAACCGTAATGTTGTTAAAAACAAAAACGCGACTCACTTTCCGTTCTTGAGGAGTAACGCTTCATCTTCGGGAATGTGACCGACAAGCAGCTCACTAATCCTGCGCCGCTGAGGAATAAGTAGGAATAGGTGAAGCAGAATGGATGAGTTTTCATGTCCACTAAACAGATGCTAGCTTATTTATAAAACGAAAGAAAACTGACCTGCAAATCCTGAAGCAGCGATGTATCTGTCCCTTCTCGTTTGAAAGACATTTGGATTTGGATTTGGATTCTCGTGGCTTTGACGGCTTTGATGGTCACCAGATTCTCTTTACCTATAATATTGTTATTTAATTTAGTTATCATATTATTTATATTACATTACGTTTTGTTCTATTAAGTTTCAATGATCCTTTTCATTTGAAAGAATTCGTGGCCAAGCCGAGATATCAGCTAAGTTTGTACAGCGGCCGAGAGAGGGCGACTGTGAGCCGGCCCATTTTTTTAGTAGTTTTAATTGAATTAAGGAATGTTCTTGAGAGTTGGGCAGATTTAAAAATAAAAACAGTAAACAAAAAGTAAAAGATGTGGGGTTTATGCCTTCATTACTCGGTTTATTTTGTGACACGGTTGTCGTCTGCCAACTGCAGCACCGGGAAATTTGATTAGGATAGCCATTTAAAATTTGGTCATTTCCCCAGCTTTAATTCGCATGTTAAATGACGATATGCAGGCTTCTTACCGAAGGCCAAGTCGTCAAACATCCTACAAAGCCAGATGACGGGAAATACTTCTGACCATCGAAATCAGCGCCGACACGACGCTGATTTAGGACCCTCAGAGTGCCTCCCCCCTCAAAGTGCGTATCTCGCATGTTCCTTGTCGAAGTAAAAAAGTAGTGCTGCCGTCTTTTCTGGCGCATGCAGTGGACAGAAAACGGGAAACTCAAACCTCGAGCTCCCCTATGCGTTCCGGCTAGCAGGCCAGGCCCCTCCCACAATACTCTCTGCTCGCCATGATTTGTGGTTTCCTCCTCTCCAGTCGCCTCCTCTCTGACGTTCGCTCTTCTAAAGTGGAGAGGGAAGAGAACTTTGTGGTACGAGTATGTTCTGCTTTTCTGAACGTGCAACAGACTACCCGGAGCACAAGTTCGTCTGCTTCTTGGGCAGGGGTTGCGGTGTCGTCAGAACGCCGAGCTCTGATTGGCTCCGATTGGAAGGATAGTGGGTAGACCTCAAGGCAGCTAGCGTGGAGGTCTTCCCATTAGGGAGTTTTCGTAGATCGTTTTCGCCGTCCCGCAAGGCCCTCCGCAACCCGCTACGATAGCGGGAACTCCACGGTCAAGCCTATCGGCTCCCAGGCGCAGTAGCAACTTCTTCGTTGCGGAACGCTTAGCGGAGGGGGCAGCGCGGTCTACGAAAACTCCCTACTATCTCCCCATCGGAGCGCAATTCCGTGCAAGAAGCAGACGAACTTGCGCTCCGCATGGACATCTCAACGCCATTAACTGGCGTTTACCAGATGTATGAACTGGAAAGGCAAGAGAATTATGATAATTTTGCTGCCATTTGTCATTTTGTTCAATTAAAGACACTGTCCTTCATGCACCGGGGGTGCTTTTTCGGCTCGGGTTAATTAACTATGCATCGCAGAAAGCTCAAACTTTGTAAAGAATGTGACGCTAGCCGTTGGGAGGAAACGTAAATGGTTGAGAAGACTACGTTACCTGGGTCAAAATATAATTCAGAAAAACGAAATGTATCAATTAGCCTAATATCGTCAAAACAAAAACTGACATTGTGGACGCATACATGGGCGTACCAACCGGGGGAGCAAGGGGGGCGCTTGCCCCTCCAATTCTCAGAGTGTGTCTGTGTGTGTGTGTGTGTGTGGGGGGGGGGGGGGGGGGGGCAAGGCATGTGTTTTGCCCCCCCGCCCCCCTGAAACAGCCGCCACTGGGCAGGGCAAACAGTGGCCGGCGGCGCCTAAGGGATACAGAGGGCACCGCCCCCCCCCCCCCCCCACACACACACACACACTCAGAAACAAGTTGGTACGCCACTGGACGCATACGAGATTTATATAAGTGAAAAACACTTATCAGCAAGAAAGATAATATTATTTTCTTTCTTGCTGATAAGTTTCTTTCAGTGAAATAGATGCTACGGGGGCCCATATTGTCCTTGATTGTTATGACGATATTAGGCTTGGCTGGACGACGGCAGAGAAATTTCGTTCTTCTCAATTACATTTTAATCCAGGTAACGTAATGTTCTCAAACTTTCGCGCTCTATCCCAACCGCTAATGTCACACTCTCAGGGAGTTTGAGCTTTCTGCAATGCATAGTTTTCCCTGTTTTTTTTTTTTTTTTTTTACTTGGGTGGAAAAACACTTTTCGTTTCTCGAGAACGCTCTGTACAATTAAGGTTAGCAGCTAAACTAAAACTTACTCTTATTTATTTATTTTTAGCTTTAGCAGCATTAGTTGTGTTTGCTGTGTTTACAAATGACACAATGACATCAAAAATGTAGAATCGTAAAAAGGCAGCTGCACGCGTGTTTAATGATTTCTCGAGGTTCGCCTGAATTTGTTGGCGGTCCGCGACAAAGGAAGACATGCATCGAACGTGCTGTGAAGTCCCCTTTATTGTCTGCTAAGTCGATGCCACGTGGCAACAAGAAATCGCACGGAGTAACATTCAATGTGCGTACGGCTAAAAATCCTGTCATAGAAAAGATGCAAAGGTGCTAAAAATCCTCGACAATCCCTGACTGCATAGAAAGGAATTTAATCAGACAAAAATGTACCATGGTCTGTAGTTACGCCTGCCCAAACACAGGTCTTACAAAATCCAAAGTGTAAAGCATACGATATTCAAATGTTTTCTAGGAGAAACAGACTACTGCGTCATATGGATACTGTCTGGCGTTTGAAGGTAATCTGAGACATCCAAGTCCATAAGCAGAAAAAGGAAAGGGGGGGGGGGGGGGGGGGGGGGGGCTCTAGGACGGCTTTGCGGATGTCAAGCGAAAAGCTCTCTTTTTTTTTTTTTTTTTTTGCTTTTTGCAAACGCGTCGGTTTGAGCTATGATGGCCCAACGGTTAAATAACCTCCATATTTGGCACAGATGGAGTTTTCACATAAAAATCGAGGCTGAAAGACCTGTGCAAGTCGGTAAAAAGAGATGGGCTCCCGCCGCCCAGCTGCACCAACAAGCATGCTAGCAGCCTCACCACGTGCAAGACTGAGCAGATCTTTCCATGCCCATGTCCTGCGGCGCTGAATATATCGGCCAAACGGGTCACTGCGTAAACGACCGGCTTCGGGAGGGAGCATCACCTAGGGGACGCTGCGCCCAACGGTCAGCACCCGATAGACACTCAAAGACGAGAATGTCGTGGCTGCGCTCCCGACTTTGTAGCCACGACGACGTGAGCGCGACGGGAGGGAGATTATAGAGAAGCCTTTAGAATGGTGAAGAGCCCGCAAATCATAGGCTCATCGTCTTTTTTGCTCAGAAAGACCTCGGGGCCCCGGTTCCTTAAGCCCCCCCCCCCCCCCCCTTTCCCCCCTCCTCACCCCCGAAAAAAATTCCTGACTGCGGGCCTGGATACACACCACTTGTACAGAGTATGCTTCATTGTTGCCACATTTCTCCAACATGCAGGCTTGAACACGAGTGTTTGTAATGGTGTTCACCGGAAGTTTTGACACCGTAAAGTATAACTTTGGCGATGATGGAACGCATATTAGCTGGCAGTCATCGGGTCTGACATGCGACTAATTATAATACACACTGCAAGAGGGCAGGGAAGTGTCATCATGTTTTGGCATAACGTTCGCGTTTCTCGGCGTATAACCGAGCAGCGTCAAAAGGGAAATCATTTCACACATAACGTACGCATGGGAAAACATTTCATTAATTGTGCAAAAAAAAAAAAAAAACCTGGAAATTTACGTCTCAAACGTGTATACAATAAAACCAGCACGACAAGTTTGTACTATGTGTGTAGCCACGAGATATTACCATGCTATAACTGTAGGGTAAAATAGTTGGCAGCCAGAGCTATACCCCTGCTGTTATGTTGGTACTTGCAACGATAATAAAATGGCTGGGTACTGCTTTATCGGATATTTAATCGATCCTCATTAAATTAGTGACAAAGCAATATTTTGACATTCGTCCACTATGTCCAGCAGATGTTCGTCGTGCGCAAAACCTTGCTCCTCTTTCTTTCCTTTTTTTTTTTAGATGCAGGTTTTTTTTATCAGTAAAGGTCATGACATCTTGAATCGGATGATATTCGTTTGGTTTCACCAAGACCACGGTATAATGGGTCACTGGGGACGCCAAACCATCTTGCCCATTGTAATTGTGGTATAGCTGAAAAACACTCAAAACTGAGCCGCTCTTCTGTGTTTTGGCGGGAATGGTAAATTTACACGCTGTCTATAAGAAATGGTCGCCTACGATATTATAAAAATTATTTCAACCCACAATAAGAAGATAGGGTAATAAATTTAAGAAATGTATACACATATTGGAAGCTCAATAAATGGATCAAGTGGGTGTTGATATTTTGCGGCAAAAATGAAACAAAATTAATGGTCTAAAAAACACTTTAAAAAAAAACAAAAAAACTTCGAGTTCTTGTAACGTGTACACCGCCGTCTCAAGTACGTCAATAAAACTACTGCGATGGCACCCTGGAGAGTATGTACTTGGTTGGCTCCTTCTGAAATATTCCACCAAGTCAAATTTTGATTGTATACGAAATCGACGCCACCGTATAGGAACTCCTTCGCCTTGGTTTCTTGGTGAATGTCGTGCTTTGGGAAGACCCTGGAATGGCTGTGACCTGAAACATTCGAAAGAAAAACTGTTAGACTGCATATTTAACGCCTTCGAAGTATTTCGGGAGGACAACTGGTAATGCTTGGAAAAGTTGTATACGAAGACGGCGACACGAGGGAACGACGGAAACGGGCTCTTTTTATCTCTCTTTGAATTTCAATATGATTTCATGCATATTGAAGCGCAATTTCAACATTATGTTCACTAGTCGCTGCGGGCATTTCCGGAACGCTGATGACATTTGACCCCCCCCCCCCCCCTACTCCAGTGGCGATGATATTGAGCCGATGACAATGAATATCTGATGAACTATTAAAAGTTCCAAATAATAACAAAAGCAAAATCGTAATTGTTTTTATAATATGTTGACGAGTTTTAATGTGCCAGATTTTTATTCACGCTACATATTCTAGACTACATGTTTTGTATGATTTAGAAACTACGAGTATATGGTAAGCAGTATCGTGTTCGATCCTTAGGATAACCCGTGAAATAAATGCTTACGGTTATGAAGTTGTCACTTCCGAAATCAGGTTTTCCACTTTGAGCAGTATTGTTCGGGTGCATGATTTTCCTGT